TCTGTGGATCAGATTATCCAGCTGCAAAGTGCCACACATGCCCCTGCCCTGGTTATTTTTACACTGGCACTGAGGAGCGGGCTATGTACCGCTGAAGAAATATGCCCATGTTTTCTGCCGGCTTCTCTAGTCCCTGGGGGAAAAAACATGATCTCTCAAGTGCCAAGGCAATGAACTCATGCCCCATTCCTGGGGTAGCAATGTCTTTCCCTTTCCCAGGGCGCTAATGATGTGGAATGCAATTGCATCTGGGGGGCACTCAGAGACATTCCAACATACAAGTAGTAAGAGGCAGGTGCTAGGGTCTCAGGCAGGTTCCAGCCAGGCAAGTGAATGGGGTGGCCAATCACTGGGTGGGCTGCACACTGATGCAGGAGACACCTGTCCTACTCCTCCTCATTGGGAGACCCTGCTAAGGGAGAGAGAAGGGGAATAGTAGCAAAGACAGGAGGAAAATTTGCCCCCAAATAAGGACAGGGCCCGACAGGGGTCAAGTCAGGATTTAGATGAATCTTCCAGAAACCTTTTCTGACAGCTGCTGCAGGTGAACCAGCTGGAAGGGAGGAGGAGGAAACTGTGCTTTCTGAAACATCTGCAGAACAGGTTAGATCCCACCAGGAGATAGTCTTGGAAACAGTTCCTCCATTCACCAGTCATAGCAAGTGTCAGCTTACGGCCATGGGGGACAGTAGATGCCATGCATGTGGCCCGCAGGTAGGGGGCAGGCTGCAGAAACAGGCTGGAAACTGATGCTGCTTATTTACGAGTCTGGCTTAAATCTGCCTAAGTGTGGGCCCCAGTTTTCCTAGTATCTGGAGTTGGTTCCTCAGGTAAGCAGCCTCAGAGAGAAAGCTCTGCATCTGTGTGTGGCAAGAGGTTGGACTTTTGGGGCACTTTGTTTCAGGTTCTCCCCTGCTCCCCCTGTGACAAGGAGGCTGGTAGCAGGACCTCTTGCCACTGTCCAATGCTGCCTGCATTCTGGCTGAGCAATACCATGTTCTGTTGTCGTCAGCTTTACCCAAACCGTAAATGCTTGTCTGAAAGCCCAGGGGGCTGACCCTTAGTGCAAAGGGTGTCGAGATACCGCTAGTCTGAGGCTACATCCACAGGTGGCAGGACCACAAGGTTGGGTGGGAGTCTGATGGGTGCAGGCAAATCCACCCTTAAGGCTGGGGAGGGCTGAAATGGTTTGTGAAGCAGAGCCTCTCTTAACGCATCTCACCAAGCTTTTAAAGGCCAGGGGCAGCGGCTGGTACGTCCACTCTGGTACACCAGCACCTGGCACAGAGCCTGACATACAGTAGGCACTCAATAAAGACTTGTTGAATGTCAAAGCTGGAAGAACGCTCCGGGAGACCTGGTCCAGCATTTCCCCTAGTAACCCGGGAAGAGCTATGTGCTGAATCACCCGATTGGAGACTGACAACACACATAAACATATTAATGGATCTGAGTCATCCTGACTTAAAGAAACTTATTTTCCTGGTGTTTCCCCAACTGATTTACCCACACAAGCTTCTCATCAATTGCTTATTCACATCTCACTTGAGGAACAGAGTTTTGGAAATGCTGATCTAGCTTAACCTCATCATTCTACAGACGATTTAATGGGGGCCCAGAGAAGGTGAGCAACTTGCCTAAATCACACAGCACAGTGGTGGTAGAGTTGGGACAGTGTCATGAGGTATTTTTACTCTCCTAATTCTTCAGACCAAAAAACAAAAAATGAAAACCAAACCAGTTGCCCTTGAGTCAATTCTGACACATGGCAACCCCGCGTGTTTCAGAGTAGAACTTCTCCATAGGGTTTTCAATGGCTGGGATCTTCCAGATCCTTTGGTTAGTAGCCAAGCACTTAACTGATTACACTACCTGTTGTTGTTAGGTGCAGTCAATTTTTGACTCATAGTGACCCCATGTGACAGAGAAGAACTGCCCCATAGGGTGTTCTAGGCTGTAATCTTTACAGAAGCAGATTGCCAGGTCTTTCTCCCGACGAGCTGCAGGGTGGGTTCAAACCGCCAACCTTTCAGTGAGCAGCTGAGCACTTAACTGTTGTGCTTCCAGGGCTCCTTTTACACCCCCTAGGAAATCCCAATTCTTCAGATAGTACAGGGCATAAACATCCTTTTGCATGATCTAGAAAGCAACAACTGGTTTAACAAATTAATCCAGATTAATCCAAATTAAACCAGATGGCAGGGGCAACGTTTCACCGACTTGAGAGCCTTTGGAACCACTTTAGCATCAATGCAATTACCTACAGTTCTTATCTTTCCCTTAACTAATCCCTTAGGTCCTCTGTTAGTAATCCTAGCAGCAGGTTTCCAATGTTGCATGTCATCCCAATGCCACTGAAGTTCTTTAAAAAAAATCTCTTGTCCAGACATTTCCCCCATAGCCCCTTGGTTGTTTGAAATCATGAGGATTTGTTCCTCTGCACTTTAGGGTTCTGGGCAGCGAAGCCAGGGGTGCAGTGATCAGTAATTTGCTTGTGCATCAGACTTATTGCAGAGCTCCAGCTCTGTACAGGGGCAGGGTCTGAAGAGCTTCCCCAGAGAGGAGGGGTGGTTTGCCCCTTGCCCGGCTGGCTTTCTGTTACTCCTTCCAGGCATCCGGCAGCATCAGCCCAGCTGTTCTTGCTAGTTTCACACACTGCGCAGGTGCTGAGTTGCCTCAAGCCCCAGTCATTGCCTACACTGAGGCCTGGAGACCCAGAATCCAGGTTCATGGGGAGCTGTGCAGCCCAGTCCAAACCAGTCCTGATAGAGGAGGAGAGAGGCACAGAGAGCACAAGCGACTTGTTCAAGGTCACACAGAGAACTAGAGCAAATCCATTTTCACTGACAGGGAACGTCTCCAAGGCAGAGAATCACAGAATGTCAGGGCAGGAGGAAGGCCTTCAGCTCCAGGGCACCCTGAGAGGGGAAGCAGCTTACCCAAACTTCTTCCAGGGTGACCCCTGAATTCAGGCATTCCAACTCCCACCCTGACGACTTTTCCATTAATGGTGGGCCAGGAAGTAGATGCCGCCCCCTCTGTCCTTACCTTCAAGCTGGGCTGCTGGCTGCTAACTATAGAAGGGTTGTTGGAGGGAGAGTGTCGTGCAGGGAGATGGCAAGTCTCTCCTCACACCTGAACATGAGGCCTCAAGCAAGGGAGCCCAGAGCCCTTATCCTACACCCTGCCACTGACTGAGCTAGTACTCCAGACTGGCACTCTGCCCCACCTGGGGCCCTTATGGCCATCAGTGTCAGTGACTGCCAGGCAGGGTTCCTCCCAAGAGGACAAGTCCAAAGTAGAGCCAGTCAGGGAGGCAGCAGAAGGGATTTTATCTTAAGTCTTCAGCCCCTTCCCCGTCCCTTTGGGAGGGATTACCAGCTATTTGTGAAAGCCTCAAAAGTGCTGGCTGTGAAGTGGGAGCCCCTCCTGGGAGATTTTGCAGCATTGCGTTAGGGCAAGGAGAGGGCGGGTGGTGGGGAGGGGTGGGGGGGGGTACCACATCCTGTGGACGCTGCCTCTTCTCCCTTTATACCCAGTGGGTGTTCTGCTGGAGCCCACCTCCTCCCTGCTCTCTGCCAAAGACTGGAGCATTTCTCGAATCTTCATGAGGCTGGGACTTGTCTCCCCGAAGAGGGAACTTTTTAGGGGTTTCATGCCAGGGCCCTGGAGCCTGAATAGACCTATTCTGGGACAGCAATTTGGTGCGAGAGGCTAAGGCCTTGGGGAGAGGGGGCGTGCGGAGTATATGGATTTAGGCTGGGGTTCCAAGCTGGTGGGGTTCTCTGGTGAGGTTCATATCCTGGGTGGGACAGAAGGGACTGGGTAGTTTGACACCAGCCAGGAGGGGAACCTGAGGCTGGGCCATACCAATCATCACCCAGGTATCACATGATGGGCCTGAGAGAGAGAAGCCCTCAGGGGCTCCCTGCCTTGAAGCTTCAAGATTCATTCATTTCACCTAGCAAATCATACCTCCCAGCTGAAGCTGCCATCCCAAAATGCATTGCAGCCAAGAGTGTTCTCTGTTGCAAAAGCAGCCCTACTATCTCTCAACATGGTATAGCCAGAGACAGCTGCCACTATCCCAGAATGCAATTCACACAGAGGTGCCTCTCTAGCCCCTCAGCACAAGTGGATAGAGTTCAATTTACTCAATTCCCCAAAGTGTGGAAATTATTAAAAATCTTATCTGGTTTCTTCACTGGGTTCTGTGACCAAGTCTAGTCTTTTTGGACTGTTTTTTCACAGACTGCAGCTTAAATCTACACCTCAGCTTGCAGGGCGTCTCCCCTTGTCCTGTCCACCCCTTCTTCTTAGCTAGGAAGTCACAAATAATCTGCAAACCAAATACTAAAATGCACTAAGGGAGATTCCCAGCCAAAAAAAAAAAAAAATCCCTATGAGTGACTCTTTTATAAAGTGTTGGAATGATGTTCTCTGATTGGTTTGTAAGTGGGATTTAGGGGTCCTGTACTGTCACCATGGAGACAAGTGCCTATCCCACAATGCAACTGGGCCTAGAGGCAAGCTTATTGGTCTGGTTACTTGCAGTCATTGTGTTCTCTCATCTCCCCTTTTTTGAGGGGGACACTGCTATTTCTCCTCCGTGCCCACCTGGTCCACCTCCAGAGAGAATTCAGGCTTAGCTTGTATTCTTTCTCCCTACCCCCAGTTGCGGTAAAACCCAGGGCATCAGAAACATAAAAATCCTGAATGTGCCAACAGTAAGGAATCTTTGAACCATCTAGTGATCTAGTCCAGCTCCTTCACCTCAACCTCTTATTTTACAGATGGAGAAACTGAGGCCTAGACAGGCGGCAGAGACTGGCCTAAAGTTGTACACTTGGGTGATGGCAAAGTTGGGACTGAACTCAGGCCTCCTGACTACCAGTCCAGGGCTCTTTCTAGCAACCAGTATATTGGCTACAACTTCAAAAGTTTCCCCCACCAGGTCCCTCCCGCCCCCCTCTCCCACCTCAGCCTCCCCTTTGACCCCACTACACATAATCTGGGTTATAGCAGAGCATGTTGAACTCGAGGTTCTCATCCCAGTGTCGCAGGAGCACAAATAGCTGGCGGGCAGCGGCCTTGAGCGTGCCCTGCGTGCGGCCTTCAGGCACCTCCTGCTGCTCCAGCCATGAGCTGGCCTTGGCGGCCACCAGCTCCCATTCAATGAAGTAGGCAGCTGAGCTGTGCTCCAGCCAGGCCAGTGCCACCACTGTGGCCCACAGCTTCCCCACATGCTCCACCATGGCCCTTGGCTCCAAGCCCAGCTTGCCTTTGGCCAGGGGCTCCAGGGAGAAGCTGTCACAGGAGAGGTGCTGAGGTGAGGGCCTGGTGTACAGCTGGGGATTTGGGGTCTCTGACTTGGGCTGGCGGGCAGTGAGGGACACTCGGTGGCAGGTGAAGGGCGAAGTCCACTTGAGCTTCTCCATTGGGATGTGTGTGGCTTCACAAAAGGCTTGGTTGAGCAGGAAGGCTCCGGAGGCCAGCTGCAGAGACACCTGTGTGTGGGGGAGCCCCTCAGTGGGCCTCAAACCTTTTTGCCCTTGGAGCCCCAGACCATGCAAAAGTCTCGAACCACATCTCTTCCCACCCCCAAGGGATCTGAGGGATTCCTGACTAAACACCACCTGAGCATCTCCATCCTTCACCCCACGGGCACTTCACACTCATCACTCTCCAAGCCCAACTCGGCATCTTCACTCCAAACCCGCCTCTCGTCCTGGGTGGACCCAGCTCAGCCATGGGACTGTCCGGGGCCGTCCAGCAGACTCTGGGCAGCACACCCCCTCTCCCTGTCCCTACACCAGTCAGTTCCCATCAGGTCTACTTTCTAAAGAGCTCTGGAACCCACCACTTGCCTCCTCATGCTATCCTGGCCTCTACTTTACCCCCTTTGCCCAATGCACCTTTCCTGCAGCCAGAGGGATCTTTGGAAGGCATTGATCCTATTGCTCTTTGACTTAAATCTGTTCCATAGCTTCATTTTTCTGGTAAAATAAGTCTAAAATATGGCTTGCAAAGCTCTACAATGATCTGACCTTGGTTTGTCCTTGTCACTTACCCCCTCAAACTCCATTCTCCAGCCAACCGAGCTCTCTCTCCTCTCGAGACCCTCGGCTATAACTTCTCGCCCTTCAGGTCCTGGCTTAACGATTACCTCCTTCAAGAAGTCATGCTTGATTCCTCCCCCACCTCAAGCCTGGCTTAGAGGTCTCCTTCATCAAACTGACCTCTCCTATGACAGCTCCCAAGGATAATAATGGCCTGGTTCCTTGTCTGTGTCCCCACTAGACGCTTAGCACCACGAAGGCAGGGACTGTATCTAGTTCAAGGTGGTCTCCCCAGGGTCTGGCACTGTGCTTGACACAATAAACACTTGTGGAGTGGATGAATGTGCCATGTTCTGTTGCCCCAGATATCTGGAAATTTAAAATGACATCACGCACTGTCTGTGCAGGGACGTAGCTGAGCAGAGACGCTCAAACCATGCCCCTCCTCCAAGTACCACTGGGTCCCAGGTGTGGCGGGGCGAGGCTTCCGTGCTCCTTGCTGAGATAAGCTCACTCCAGACCTGGCTTCTCACCCTGCCACAGTGGAATGGGGCATCTGCAGAGACACGTGCTAAACACGGTGCATGTCCCTGGGGTGTTAATTTTACTCACTTATGAGTCATTTCAAGGCTTATTTTTATATTTTGAAAAACAGACACATAGATGCTGGAGTAGAATGCAAAAATCCGGTGAATTTTTAAAGCGAAGACAGCAGATTGCAAAGAATTTTTGTGATGCTGGTGCTGGCTTCTAGCAAAACCCTTAGACCCCGGGGGGCAGGGAACCCCCTGCAAACTCTCTCTGTCCTGCTGGCTACTTGGGTGGAAAGGTCTAAGAAGCTCCAGGTCTCAAGAGACTTGAGCTCTAAGACCAAAATCTTCCCTTTGGAGGGGAAGAGAGGCAGGTGGGGGGCTCCAGGAAGGCCCCACTGCTGCCTGTGGGAGCTGAGGTCTAGGGTCTGGGGCACTCACCAGTGGCACGTAGTCGAGGTTCTGGCTCCCTGAAGTTGACTCCGGAGTCTTGCTCAGTGGCTTGCCCAGGAAGCCCTTGGCTGCTCGCATCAGCAGCCTGGACTTCTTGAGATTCAGTCTGTGCGGAGGAGCCAGAAAGAGTGGTCACAGCCACTCCGGTGGTGTCCCTGGTCATCCCACCACTAGTGCCCACCCAGCAGCCTCTGAAAGTCAGGACCAGAAAGGTTCTGACAGATGGCCTCCTCCAGCCTCCTCGTTTGACAGCTGGGGAAACTGAGGTCTGGAAGGAGGGGGAGACATTTGTCCAAAGTTACCCAGTGAGTTAGCAGCAGCCTGGGCTAGGAGCCAGGCAAGCGTTCTTTTTATGACCCTCTCTCTTTTTAACATTTGCTAATTTAACATTTTTCACGTGTACACTTTAGTGACATCAATCATACTAATCATGTGCAACCATTTATGACCCTCTTTTGATACTGTATTCCTGTCCAGCCCAGTGGTCAGAAGAATCCCATGCCTGCCCTCTCTGAGTATCTGCATTTGAAAAGAGACCATGTAAGTGGGGGAGATGAATTACAACTGGGAGTGTTAGGTAGTGTGATACCTGGGAAAGAGTGATATCTCTGGGTAGGGGGGCCTTCTTAGTACCCTTCAGATTGCACCCTATTGCTTATTGTGTTTAAATGTAAGGCTGGGCCTGCCTTTGACCTTCCAATCCAGGGATAGCCCCTCATTGGAAATCCCACTTACCTGGATCCAAAGACAGTCTCAGGGGACTTCCCAGAAGAAAGGGTGTTGGTGGCCAGACTGTGCAGGGAACCTGGAGACACAGAATGACAGGGATGAGCCCTGACAGATGACCCTTTCCAACTGCTCATTGCCTGGCTGCGGAAATATAGAGGCCCAGAGAGGGGCAGGGGCTTGCCTATGTCCCTATATCCTTATATCCCTATGTCCTTATATCCTTATGTCCCTATATCCCTAGGGGTCAGAGCTAACCATTACGCTGCTGGGCTGTTTCTCATCTAGCTGGTATGGAGGAGGGAGGATGTGTGGACCTACGTGTGAGAAACTGGCCTACAAGCCTACTTGGCAGGTAGGCTCTTGGTATTTTCTGGAAGGTTGCCTGTAGGGGCTGTGACAGCTTCATGTCAACTTCCTTCACCCCAAAATGGGGACATTAAGTTTACCTCCCTGGGATGCTGCTGTAGGATTCTAGGCAGAGTCAGGTGGTAGACTATTCCCTCAGTTGAGAATTGGGAGGCCTGATTCCAGACTCAGCTCTGTCACCGACTTGCTGTGTGACCTTGGGCAGGTCATTTCACCTCTCTGGGCCTCAGTGTCCTCATCTTTAAATTGGGGACAATCCTATTTACCTCTCCCGGGGCTATTCTGAGGAATAAGTGAAGTCCTAAGGATTTCATTGGTGCTAAGGCACTGTCCCAACCCAAGGCTCAATCACTATAACCATCTTCATTAAGAAGAGAGATGGGACTGGCTGCCCACTCACCTTCAGAAGCCACATGCTTCTCGCAGCCGGGGCACACAGTCTCACAGATGGGCATGGTGGGGCTCTCCTCCAGGTCTACAACAGAGGAAGCCAGTGAGGCCCCACCCCTCCCAACCCTCCCTTCTTACCTCCCATGCCCCCTAGGAGAGTAATAGCCCCAAGTCACAGTTCCTGGGGGCAGGATGGGGAGCAAGATCAAGGTTTCTCTCCCGGCTTGGATGGTTGTTCATCTTCCAGAGACATCACCACTGCTTAACTAGAAGAGTCAGGCATGCCTGGGTTCAAATGCCGACTCCCCCATTGACTAGCTGTGTAGCCCAAGGAAAAATTATTTCCTTTATAAGCCTCTATTGTAAATTGGGGGTAATAGTAACTATCTCACTGAGTTGTTGTTGAGGATTAAATGAGATAATACACAGATAGGGTTTAGTGTCTGGAGCATTGTAAGTGCCCAGTAAATGTAAAATGGAATCAAGTCCTCGAGCTACAGACCCAGCAGGGAAACAGGATCAGGTCAGGGACCTGGGAGGGGGTTAGGGTGAAAGAGGTGAGCACCTGTCATTGGCCTATGTCTCCCTGAGGAGTGAGGCTCATGCCAGCTCTCTAGGGAGAGGAGGCACTAGAACATGGAGCTGTCTGGTCAGAGGGTTCCGAGCCTCAGTTTCCACACCTATTAAATGGGAATAATAATCGCACATACTTTGTTCAAAACAATCAAGGTGATCATTTTTACGATCCAAGGAATAGAGAGTGATGGGGTGATCTACTCTAAAGGAATAATTTAAATTATGGAAAAAGCTTCATACACAAATATGTTCTTCCAAGCCTGTGTCTCCCCTATGGGACCATTAGCTCTGTGAGGACCAAGACGAAGCTGTGTTCATTGTTGGGTACTCAGGGCCACACAAGAGTGAACTAGTGACTGACCAGCTATGGCTGAATGACTGAGGGAACCAGGAGGCAAATGGCATGTTGGTTAACTTCATGGCCTCTGGAGCCAGACACTGCCTAGGTTCAAGTATTAGCTCTACCACATATTAGCTGTGTGTTCTTGGGTAAGCCACTTAACTTCTCTGAGCCTGTTTTCTCATCTCCTAGTGGGGATGATAAAAGAAGCTCCCTCAGATGGTTGCTGAGGCAGCATCAATAGTCAGAATAGTGGCTGGCACAGAGAAAACACTAAGTACCTGTTAGCCACTGTCTTCCTTAAGGAGGGAAATGGCTTGGGCTGGAATAAGAGTTTAGAAGTCAGAGGCATTGGAGTGTGAGTCAGAGGACAATTGAAAGGGAGCAATTTGTGATTTTGATGGAAGCCAGAGGCCACCAAGAGCTGAGCTGCGGAGAAAGGAAAGGGTAGACTAGAAATTACCTCTAGACTGGAAGCTCCCTTTGGCTCAGGGGTAGAGCAAGTTCCCCCAGGTTTTGGAGGCTCTGAGGGACCAGGTAGTTAGCAGAACTCCTTAATTCTGAAGAGTGCCTCTGAGGTTCCACCTCCTTACACGGTGGTCCTTTTTAACCCATCAGTGTTTTCAGCACTTTCTAATCCCTTGGGTAAAACAATCTTATGATCTGGGTGGCTGAGCTCATGGCCAGGTGGGATCTCTGATGTCCCTCTTGTTCACATCAGAGGGGGCACCAAGGAAGGGGTTAGGACTGGTGCAGTAGTTACGCTGTCTTTAGAGAGACAGAAAGACACACACATTCAAGACACAAAGGGTTAAAGCCATTCTGTAAATTAGTGCAAGGCCAGTGGCCATAGGTCACAAAAAAATCAAGTCATGGATCTTCAAGGACCCAAGCTGTAGGCACAATAAAACCCAGTAAAGACTGAAACCAAGTTGTTGAGAATCCTGAAAGAAGCAGATGGTGGAACCCAAACAGATGGGAGTGCCTCTACACTCTTTGCTTTTTCCCCTGCTTATTAGGTTCCCTGGCATTTGGTGCCTGGGAGGACTCAGAAGTTGGTGTCAGAGAACAGCCACTGGAGGTGGTGGATCTAGAAAGAAGAGAGGTGGGTGGATGGTGTTATGGATTGAATTGTGTTCCCCCAAAAGATATGTGGAAGTCTTAACACCTGTGCCTGTGAATGTGACCCTGTCTGAAAATATGGTTTTCGTTTATTATGTTAATGAGATCATACTGGAGTAGAAGGGGTCCTAAACCTAATCCCTTCTGAGTGGTGTCTTATAAGAAGAGAAAACAGACACAGAGAGACACACACAGGAGAAGAGACCATGAGAGGTTCCATCTACCAGCCAAGAAATGCCAAGAAACGCCCAGGGCTACAGAAACTGAGAGACAAGGATCTTCCCCTAGAGCTAACAGAGAGAGAGAGAGCATAGTTCTGCCCACAATGCCCCGAATTCGATTCCTAATCTCCAGACTGTAAAAGAATAAATTCCTATTCTTTAAAGCCACCCACTGTGGTTTTTGTTGTGGCAGCCCTGGGTAACTAGGACAGATGATGTGAGCAAGTGGGCAGGGAGGCGGTGCTCCTCTCTGGCTCCTGGTGCTCTTGGCAAAGCTGTATTAATGGTGGCTTGTTTGGGCTATGCTGAGCCCCTTTATATCTCAGACCTTGAGAGCCTGGGTGGCCTGGCCCTGTCCAGGGGCCCAGAGTGCAGGCTCAGAGAGAGGCCTCTGGGGCCTCGGGCATGAAGCTGTGGTAACCCCAGGGGCCCAGGCTTCTGAACACAGCCAAAGTGGCTCTTACTTAGGTTTTGAAATTTGCCATCTCCTGCTGCCGATTCTTCCCCGAGCAAGGTCGGGGACTGTCTGAAGCTGGCAGAGGTGCCCCTCAGCTGTCGGGTCAGGATCCGTGAGCTGGCCATCTGCAATGCAGCACTTCACCAAGGACAAGGAAAAGGGATCAGACGGATACAAACGTGTTGGTCCTTTGCCTCTCCCCCAAGACTGACAGGAATGATTCTGGCTTTAATCTTTTAATTATCCAAAGACAGGAAGGCACTGTACAAAGTAAGGCCATGAGCTTCGGAGTCAGGAAGACTTGGGTTTGAACCCCAGCTCCATCTCTTAGTAGCTAGGTGGGGTGATTAATGCCTTTGAGTCTCAGTTTCTTCATCTGGAGAATGGGGATAATAATACCTACCTGGCCTGGTAGATCCTATTGCTAAGATAATTTCCGAAAGCAGCAGTGTTTTCTAGTTAGTTAAAAGGCTGGGTTTCTCAGGAGCACCCTATTCTCCTTCTGTCCCAGCTTGCTGTCTCAGAGACGGGGGTTCAACTCCCTCACCCAACAGGGCAAGCCTCTGAAGTCCCAGGGCATCACCAACGGAGGACAGATGGAAGAGAGATAAAGCCACAGCACCCAGAAGCATGTTTTGGGGAACCCTACTCTTGGAGAATACTAGCTCTAGAAACTCTTCCTTAAAAAACAAAGAGTTCTGCTGGGAAATCAGTTTTGGAAAAGCTGTATGCTATAGTCCATTCTCTGAGCCTCAGTGTATATTAATGCACTAAAGGCTCTGAGAAGACCCACAAGAAAAGGAAGCTTTTGAATTTGATTTAGTCCAGTGTTTCCTAAATGTATTTCCTAATTTGGTGTTTCCTATTTTTGTGCTGAATGACTCTTAATAGGAAACAGGACTAGGGTTCTAGTTTTCTGGAATACACTTTGGAAAGTGCTTAGGTTAAGATACGGGCCAGCCCCTTGAACCTCCAGGCTGTGGCTACCAGATGGTAACAGGGCTGTCAGAGATGGGTGGAAGGGAGAGATAAGGAGAATGCTCTGTGGGGCAACAGTCCAGGCTAGAGAGCTGCAGGCCTGAGCCTGAAAGGAGAGCAACTGAGGGTGAGAGAGAGAGGGGTATGGGTCGTTGACTATTTTGTTATGGGTTGATTTGTATACTGCCTCCAAAATATGTTCATGTTCTAAACCTTGGTACCTGTGAATGTAACTTTATTTGGAAATAGCATCATTGCAGATATAATTGGTTAACATGAGGTCACACTGGAGTAGGGTGAGCCCTGATCTGATATGATTGGTATTCTTAGAAGAAGAGAACAGACAGATGGAAGCAGAGATCGGAGGGATGCTGCCACAAGCCAAGGGACACCTGGGACCACCAGAAGCTGAAGGATACAGAGAAGGATTTCCTCCCTGAGAGGCTTCGGAGGGAGCATGGCCTGGTTGACACCTTGATTTCTGACTCCTAGCCTCCAGAATTGTAAGAGAATGAGTTTCTATTGTTTTAAGCCACCAGTTCGCAATAATTTGTTACGGCAGCCCTAAGAAAGTAATACAGAACTAGACATAAGAAAAGGGGGACAGGAAGAATGAAGAAGGGGCACATTTTGTTTCCAAACATGATTCTTTCAGGAGGCCTGCTAGAAAAGGGAGCCACAAAGGACAGGAAAATATAATCTAGAAAAGAAAAAAGTACAAATAGCTCATAAACGTATGAAGAGTGTCTCTCACAAACAAAGATATTTCCCAAACAGATTCTTTCCTCACCCATCAGACTGGTAGAGTTTAGGAAGATAAACAATATTCAGTGGTTGGTGAGGGTGGATGTTGGAGTAACCTTTGGGTAGGGGACAATTTGGTGACATACATCACAATTTTAAATGAGCATGTCCTTTGATCCCCAGCACGTCTGTCAGTTTGTCCTACTGTGGGGGCAGTGTTTTGTTCTGTTGTACATAGGGTCGCTTTGAGTTGGAAGGGACTCGATGGCACCTAACAACGACAATGTGCCCTTTGATATTGCAATCCTAAGGTTTAATTAGCCCTAAGGAGATGACCCAACAGGAGCACAAAGATATTCTTTGCAGGATGATTTATCACCATCAAAAGGGAAATACATTAAAGGTCTAACAGTAAGGAGCTGGTTAAACAAGTCGTGATAAATCTTAAGAGGCAGTAGAGTGCAGTGGGCGAAAGCACAGACTCTGGAGCCAGGCCACTTGAATTGAAAGCCTGGCTCTGCCCTTCCCTGGGCGTGTGACTTCGGGCAAGTTAATTTACCCCTCTCAGGCTGTTTCTCCATCTGTAAAAACGGGGTAATAACAGTATCTACTCTGCAAAACTGTTTTGAGGATTAAATTATTTAATATATAGAAAGTGCCTTGGAACACTGTCTAACTGAACATTATTATGAGGACACACAGTGGAATATGCTGTTGCAAACATTAAAATGATGATGTAGATTCACTTTCATAGAAAAATATTTTCCATATCTGTATTTTGTAAAATACAGCTCATGTTGGTATGATCCAAATCATATATAATTATCTGTCTGCCTTTTGATATCGCTACATGAGGACATCCAAAGAGACAAGTCTGGAAGGGTAGTCACACCAACACCAACGAGGTAACAGTCATCATTTCTGGATGACTGCTCGTTCCCGTCATTTGTATTTATTTTATATATTTATATATTTTGGAGTTTTCTACAATGAGCACGATGTCCCAGTTGGAAACATACAGTAAAGTCATTCTCATCTGGTGGGAAAAGGGAGTGGGGGTGGTTTCACAGCTTTTTGCAGAGCAGTGGGACAGGGGCCCATGTGTCCCCTACCTTCTGGTGACCACAACATCCACTGTGGCCTTTTCTGCTTCCAGGCTCTTCGTTGGACCCCTTCCTGCAAGACTGTGCTTCTTTCTATCTCAGCCCCCCTCCTCTAGCCCATGGGTGCTGCTTGGCCCTCAGAAGTGCCCCGGCTACCCACATATCTTACCAGAGCTGGGGTACTCCACCACAGTGGGCAGGTACTGACTCTGACTCATATCCACAGGTACGAAGGCAGTGTACTTGCTGATGATGTTGCAGGCCTTGCTGGTGTGCACGGCGTTCACCTGGTAGCGACGGCTGTACCCTGCGGAGGGAGAAGCTGGTGTGTTCCCCCTGACTCAGAAAGTCCTCCAGAAATGGAAACTCTGGAAGCTAATAGGAGGGCTAGACCAGTGGCCCCATCTTTGGGATTAAATAAGCCCTTCAAATCAAGGGGTTGCCAACTTGCCAATTAAGGACATTAAAAAAAAAAGAGAGAGAGACCCAACATTATTAACCTCCATCATCATTTCACAAAATAAAGGAGCTTTTCATTTAAAATGGTAAGACATTATCTCAGAATAAAAGACAGCTGCTTCCTTTAAATAAGCTCAGCATTATAAAAAACTCTCTGTGTAGTCTGTGTTTATTTTCTCATTTTGCAGCTGTCTGATGAGAACCTTGCTGCAGGATTTCACAGGTCCCCTGACTGATCGATGGGGACCACTGATCTGGTCCATTTAATTGTTGAGAAGATTGAACATCAGAGACAGAGTGTGACATGTGCAGGGTCACACAGCAAGTTAGTAATGGACTGAGACCAGGACTCAAGACTCTCTGGCCCCAAAGCCCAACCTCTTCCCACTAAAGGGGTAAGTTGTCTCCTTGCCTCGCCACCTCCCAGAGGGCTGTGAGGAGCCAGGGAGATGAAGGATGGCCAAGTGTATGGTAACCTGTAAGGTGAGGTGCTCATGAGAAGAAAAGAAATATACATATTATACAAAAAGACAAAGAACATAAAATATTATATAAACAATATAATATTATTTTTATAAATAAAACTCTAAACTTACTATAATATAAAACATCACACCTATCTATGTATCTATAGCTATATATCTCTACCACCCATCTGCCCATTTGTCATACTGTGGCGGCTTGCGTGTTGCTGTGATGCTGGAAGCTATGCCACCAGTGTTTCAAATACCAGCCAGGTCACCCATGGTGGACAGGTTTCAGCAGAGCTTCCAGACTAAGACATTTTTAGAAGAAAGACCTGGTGATCTACTTCTAAACATTAGCCAGTAAAAACCTTATGGATCACAACAGAACTTTATCCACCTCATTTTGCTTTGGACATGTCATTAGGAGGAATCAATCACTACAGGAGGACATCATATCTGGTGAAGTAGAGGGCTAGCAAGGGTAAGGGAGACCCTCACTGAGGTGGGTTGGCACACTAGCCACAACAACAGGCTTTAACATGCTAGCAGTTGTGAAGATGATGCAGGGCGGGGCAAGGTCTCATTCTCTTGTCACCGTGAGTTGGAGTCCACTTGAAGGCAGCTGAACGACAATAATAGATATTGTTATTGTTGTTATGTGTTGCTGTCGAGTTGATTTCGACTCATGGGGACCCAATGCGTATAGAGTAGAACTGCTCCATAAGGTTTTCAAGGCTGTGGTCTTTCGAAGCAGATTACCAGGCCAGTCTTCCCAGGTGCCTCTGAGTGGGTTCAAACTGCCAACATTTCAGCTAGTAGTCAAGCACTTAATGGTTTACGCCACCCAGGGACCTACGAGATCTAGATCTAGATGTATGTATTCTCCGAGTGTGCTCCATCTCACATATGCCCCAATTCCTGAACTAAATTAGCTTCCCCCACCACCCTGTTATACAATCTCTTAAATCCCTGTATGTCTTAATAGCACTTAACTCATTGTCATCCAGTTGATTCTGACTCATAGTGACCCTGTAGGACAGAGTAGAACTGCCCCATAGGGTTTCCTTGGTTGTAAATCTTTTGGGAGGCAGACTGCCACGTCTCTCTGATCTGCAGGAGTGGCTGGTGGGTTCGAACAGCCAACCTTTTGCTTAGCAGCCGAGCGCTCAACCACTGCACCACCAGGGCTCCCAGTACTTAGGACAAATGCACTCAGTTAATTATTTGATTAATATCTGCTTCCCTGCTAGTCTGTGTCAAGCACTCAAGGCAGGGACGGGAACTGTTGTTCACTGAGCTTTACGGGGGCCCAGAGCGAGCCTGGCCTCCAGCCCATCCGCAGTAAATAAATGCTGCTGTTTAGTGAGTGAGTGAGTGAGTGGACGGACAAGGTCTAGAGGGCTCTGTGGGGAAGGCCACGGTCCCGGGAGGATCGGGGAGAATGGAAGAGGGCTGTCTCTATTGTTCTAACGACAGGAGACCCTGTCCCCAGCGTCTCTGCAGGAGACCTTCAGGGGAGAAGTGCTGGGAAGTGAGGAGGAGGGAGACCTGGAGGAGAGAGGAAGAAGGGAAGAGGGAGGACTACGGGGTGGGTGTGGGAGTGGAGGAGCCCTGGCACCTTGAATGGGCTGGGGGCAGTAGGCGCCTGGAGGCCGTGAGAGGAGGGCTTATCCTGGGGGTTAGAGCATTGGGCGGATGGAGCTGTGGGGAGAGGGCGGCCGGGGCAGGTCGGGGAAGCCGCGCTGGCTGTGAGTGGGGCGGGGAGGGGGCGGGTCTGGCGGCAGGGGGCGGTGGGCGGATCCTGGGGGGGGGAGCACCGGGGAGGGGCGGGGCTGTGGGGAGGAGGCGGGCCGGCCGGGTTGGAAAACGAGCCCAGGCAGTGAGTGGCGTGGGGAGGGGGCGGCCCGGAGGCAGGGGGAGGAGAGTGCAGAGGGGTGGGGGGAGCCCGCACTGCTGGGATCTGTGAGGAGGCTACAGCCCTAAGCGCTCACCGTGTTCGATCTCGCGCTCTCGCTCCGCCAGCTGCTCGAAGTCGCGGATGATGGCGCGGGCCGCCAGGTGGTGGAAGGTCTCGCTCCATGGGTCTGCGTCGCGCGCGCCGCTCCTTTCCGGGTCGGGGGGCTCCAGCTCGAAGCTCACCTCCCACTGCAGCCGTTGGCTGTCGCGCAGGCCTTTGACCACGGCCTTGCCCCGCACCGGGCCAGGGCTGGCGGGCTTGCCTGGACCGGCCTGCTCCTCGGGCTCGACCAGGGGCTCCCAGTCCGAGGACGTCTCGCTTTCGAAGGCGAAGGAGGGGTGATGGGACGGCTCTGCGGGCAGAGGGACAGGTGGGCCGTGCACAGAGCATGGAGACAGATGGCCAGCCCCCAGGGGACATCATCCTTCCTCATGGAGCAGACACTTCTAAGCAAGGCCCGCCCTCTCCCCCCACGAAACAGAGGACAGCAAGGGTGGCATGAGATTGTTCCCAAGAGAGGGGCAGGCCCACAACCCAGGAAGCCAGTCATCTGAGGGGACCAGACAGGGTGGGGTGGGGACACCCAGGAGCACAGAATGCAGCTCCAGGGGCAACCCCTGTGAGCCTCACAGACAGCCCAAGGGCCATATTGCTTGGGGAAGAGTGGGTCGTCAGTGAGGGGTGGGCTGCAGCAGACCCCCAAGGGAAGACATGGGCATCTGCCCTCTGGACCTATCACCTACAGCTGTGCCACAGTCAAGCGTACTCAAGCCAGTCAGGTTCCAGACCCTGTGGGCACTTACCCAGGTCCCCGGGGCTGCGGCGGTCTAAGGCAGGCTTCAGGCTGGACCCAAGATTCAGCTCCCTTGTGGGGCTCCAGGTCTGGGGCTCCAGGCCTGAGGGCGGGAAGGGCTGGCAGCCTTGGGGAAGCAGAGAGGGCCTGCGGGCCCCTGGACCCTGGATTTTGGGACCCTGGCTCAGGTCCTGGCCACTGTTCAGCAAGGGCTAGGAGGGCAAGAGGAGGAGAAGTCTGAGTCCAGGTGGCTGGAACCCCCTGCCTTCTACTCCTACCCACTAGCCCCAGCTCTTTCCTGGGCACCGCAGCCCTTCCTAGGGCATTGCTCCTCCAGTACCCAGGGACACATGGTCCACTGTCTTTACCCATGAGAAACATTAGCATGAATAATCCCAAACCATGAATAAACTCCAAAACATGGAAAACCATGGCATATCACACACCACAGATTATTCTAAACCCACTTTATTTTTTGCCATGAAGTTTAAAATTTTGTGTGTGTGTAGTTAACATTATCAACCTTTTTCCTTATGTCTTCTCATATGTCATGCTTAGAAAGATCTTCCCTACTCAAACAACAACAAAAAATTATTCTAGAATTTTGTGATTTCATTTTTGTACAGTCGTATGTTAGAATCATTGATTCACGTGAAATTCATTTTGGTGTAAGGAGATACCCGTACCCGGTGCTGTCAAGTCAATTCTGAATCATAGCGACCTTATAGGACAGAGTAGAACTGCCCCATTGGGTTTCCAAGGAGTGGCTGGTGGATTCGAACTGCTGACCTTTTGGTTAGCAGCTGAATGCTTAACCACTGAGCCACCAGGCCTCCGTAAGGAGATAGGAACCAAGTTTTTACTTCATTTTCCAAATGGTTCAAATCTCAATACCATTTATTGAATACAGTTCATTCACTGAGTCTCTATGGTTTATCAGTTCCCACAAAGCTCACGTGTACATTTGGTTTTATTTCTGGACTCTCTGCTCTGTTTTGTTGATTTATTCTGTCTAGTCTTGTGCTAAGGAGCCCTGGTGGTACGATGGTTAAGCACTTGGTTGCTAACCAAAAGGTCAGCAGTCTGAACCCACCAGCCGCTCCAAGGGAGAAAAGACTTGGCGATCTGCTCCTGTAAGTATTACAGCCTTGGAAACCCTATGGAGCAGTTCTGCTGTGTCCTATAGGGTCGCTATGAGTTGGAATTGACTCCACAGCACCTCACAACAACAGCAGTCTAGTACTGGTACCCCCCCCCCAAAAAAAAATCAAAAGGCAAGTGATAAACTGGGAAATATATTTGCAACATGCATGATGGATCAGTTGCAACAAAATGCTTTTATAAACCAGTGGGGGAAAAATAAACTCAATAAAAGAGTAAGTTAAGGGCATTTACAGGCAGGCAGTTCATAGAAAAATGTATCCAATAAACCCATGAAAAATGCTCAGTTTCATGAAAAAATTTGTTAGCTGCTGTAAAGTCAGCCCCCGACTCATGGCGACCCCATGTACTATAGAATGAACTGCCGTCAGTCCTGCATCATCCCCATGATTGGTTGCAAATGGGACCGTTGTGTTCCATAGGATTTTCACTGGCTGATTTTTGGAAGTAGGTAGTCAGGCCTTTCTTCCTAGTCCATCTTAGTCTGGAAGCACTGCTGAAACCTGTTGAGCATCATAGCAACACACAAGCCTCCACTGACAGGCAGTGGCTGTGCATGAAGTGAATTGGCCGGAATTGAACCTGGGTCTCCTGCATGGAAGGCGAGAATTCTACAGCTGAACCACCTCATCAATGAATGCCTCATCAATATTAAGTTAAAACAAGTTACCTGTTTTTGTTGCTCATCTTGGAGACTCACAAATATTTAACACTTTGATGACATTCAGGGTGGTCAGCTGAGAGACAGACTTAGGCACCGTGGGTAGGAGTGTAAACTGGTACGCATTTGTGGGAGAGCAATTTAACAATCTCCATTCAAAATGCACATACTACTTTGACCCAGCAATTTCACTTTTAGAATTTAATTTTGTGGAAATAGTCACACAACTGTGCAAAGATCTATGTGTAAGTATATTTGTTCCAGTATTGCTTATAAAAGTGAAAATCTGTGAACTATCAAATGTTCAGCAATTAAAAAAAAAAATCCATTTTCTGTCAAGTCGATTTTGATGCATGGCAACCCCATGTGTATCAGAGTAGAACTGTGCTCCATACGGTTTTCAATGACTGATTTTTCAAGAGCAGGTCACACCAAGCCTTTGTTCTGAGGCACCTCTGGGTAGACTCGAACCTCCAGGCTTTTGGTTAGCAGCTGAGCTTGTTAACCGTTTGCACCACCCAGGGACTCCATGTCCATCAATTGTTGTTAGGTGCCCTCAGGTTGATATTCAACTCATAATGACCCCATATGACAGACGAGAACTGCCCCATAGGGTTTTCTAGGCTGTAATCTTTCTAGGAGCAGATCACCAGGTGTTTCTCCCACAGAGCTGCTGGCTGGGTTCAAACTATCAGCCTTTTGGTTAACAGTTGAGTGTGTTAACTGTTTGCACCGCCAAGGGACTCCATTTCTATCAACAGGGGCTGGCAAATTACGGCACATCCATGCGATATAATACCACGCAACACTGAAGAGGAGCAGGTGGATTTCATCGTACCAGTAGGGAAAGATGTCCCAGATGAAGTTTATTTTAAAAGATTAAATTGCAGCTTTTTGTATCTTGATGATAGTGATGGTTACATGAATATTATGCATTTGTCAAGACTCAGAACCGTTTAGAAAAAAGTAATTTTACTGTATGTAAAATAAAAGAATTGAAAAGACATTACAAAGTAAATTGGAGAGTAACTTTCATCTATGATTATCAAAAACATATACATACGTACGTGTGTGTGTGCGTGAATGAGTGTGTGTATGTAGTATTTCTGGAAGAAAACTGGGCATGGGGAGGAGAACATGTACTTTTACTTTGTACTCAGCTAAACTGTTTGAGTGTTTTTATTCTAAACTCAGAGTATGTATTGCTTTTGTAATTAAAAAATATTAAAATAATTAAAAATTAGTTTAGTGCCTCTAGGAACACAAACATCCCCCTGGTGGAGGAGTGGGTGCTGGAGCAAAGGCACTTACTAGGTGTAACAGTTTTCATTCCTAACAAGTGTTGACTGGGAGGACCTGGGGATGGTACAAGGGTATGGGAGAAGAGGCTTGGTCACTCTCAGGATGGCCTCAGTGAAAGCCAGTACTGAGCCAGGGCTGCTAGGTCCTAGGAGACCACTTAACTCCTCTCTCCTCTCCCCCTCCCGCAATGAGAGACTCAGATTCCCCCCACCTCTGCCTCACCATCACCACCACACTGGGGCAGAGAAGAGAGAGACAGAAGCTACGAACGTTTTCATGGCAACAGATTAGCCTAAGAGCCAGCCCTTCAGCTTGCCAGAGGCTGCCATGAGACTGTGTGTGTGAGTGTGTGTGTCCGTATGTGCAAGCGTGTTGGGGAGAATCAGAGAGGGGGAGAAGCAGCCAGCCCGGGGATGAGGGAGATGAGCAAAGATGGGCTAAGGAGCAAGCAGGAGAGAAGTAAAGAGAAGTCTACCTGCTCAGAACTCTCACCAAGGTAGAGCTGCCATTTAGAGGACACGTACTGTGTGCCAGGGTGGTGCAAAGGGTTAATGCTTTTGGCTACCAATTGAAAGATTGGAAATTCAAGTCCATCCAGAGGTACTGCAGAAGAAAAGTTTGGCAATCTTATTCCGAACAATCGACCATTGAAATCCCCATAGAGCACAGTTCTACTCTGACATACATGAGGTCGCTGTCAGTTGGATTCATCTTGACAGCAACTAACAACTGTGTGCCAGGGCTGCACCAATCACTTTATCTCTTATCAGCCACCCCTGGAGGAGTGCCCTGCTTAGAGCTGGCTTCCAATAAATACTTGTTGATGGAAGTTAGCTGAATCATCCGCACAGACTATTCTTCCTCTTTCGTAGCTGAAGAAGTTGGGGCTCAGAGAGGTTTTGTAACATGTTTGAGGTGCAGAATCAGCCTGACTTCAAGGCCAATGTCTTCCCATTGCATCAAGGGGTCACCTCAGGGATGAGGTGGCAGTATCCCTGCCCTTGGGGAGCTTAGAGTCTCATCATCATGTGTATATGTGGCAGATGAGGGGTGAAGGGGTGGAGATGGTGGTTGGGGGTGGGAGGGACACCCAGAGGAGAGTAAAAGGCTGCTTTTACAGAGGCACAGAGTCTCAAAAAGACAAATCTGCATAAAGGCTGTACTCCTAAGAAAATGGGATAAAGCCTGAAGATAATACCAAACTGCGATTTGGTTTAGGACAGTGGTTCCCAACCAGAGATGATTTTGCCTTCCTCCCCCAGGGGAATTTGGCAATGTCTGCAGACATTTTTGGTTGTTAATTCAGGGGGAGAGTGGTGGTGGTAGTGCTACTGGCATCTAGTGGGTAGAGGCCAGGGAGGCTGGTAAACATTATAGAATGCACAGGAAATCTCCCACAATAAATAATTAACCAACCAGTTTCTGTTGAGTCAACTGCAACCCATGGTGACCTCACATGTGTCAGAGTAGAACTGTGCTCCTTAGGGTTTCAGTTAGCAGCTGAGCACGCTAACTGCACCCCCAACCTTTCGGTTAGCAGCTGAGGCTTTAACTCTCAGATCAACACTGCTCTGGGTGAATGTACAGCCCCTAGGATTTGCAGCAGGCACAGTGTGATATGCAGGGGCGAAAGCAAGGGCTTTGAAGGCAGAGGCACCTGGGTTGCAGTCCCCTGAATGGCTGTGTGACCCTCATTAAGTCACTTTCTCCTTCTGGCCCTCAGTTTCCACATCTGCATAAGCGCTCACTCATCTATGTCAAGAAATTTCGAAGACAGCTACCTGGCCAATCGACTGGAAGAGATGCATATTTATGCCTATTCCCAAGAAAGGTGATCCAACCGAATGCGGAAATTATCAAACAATATCATTAATATCACACACAAGTAAAATTTTGCTGAAGATCAATCAAAAGTGGCTGCAGCAGTTTAACAACAGGGAACTGCCAGAAATTCAAGACAGATTCAGAAGAGGACGTGGAACCAGGGATATCAATGCTGATGTCAGATGGATCTTGGCTGAAAGCAGAAAATACCAGAAAGATGTTTATCTGTGTTTTATTGCTATGCTAAGGCATTCGACTGTATGGATCATAACAAATTACTGATAACATTATGAAGAATAGGAATTCCAGAACACTTAATTGAGGAACCTGTACATAGATCAAGAGGCAGTTGTTCGGACAGAACAAGGGGATACTTAGTGGTTTAAAGTCAAGAAAGTTGTGTGTCAGGGTTGTATCCTTTCACCATACCTATTCAATCTGTATGCTGAGCAAATAATCCGAGAAACTGGACTATATGAAGAAGAACAGGACATCAGCATTGGAGGAAAACTCTTTAACAACCTGCATTATGCAGATGACACAACCTTGCTTGCTGAAAGTGAAGAGGATTTGAAGCACTTACTGATGAAGATCAAAGACCACAGCCTTCAGTATGGATTACACCTCAACATAAAGAAAACAAAAATCCTCACAACTGGACCAATAAGCAACAGCATGATAAATGGAGAAAATATTGAAGTTGTCAAGGATTTCCTTTTACTTGGATCCACAATTAATACCCGTGGAAGCCGAAGTCAAGAAATCAAAACATGCAATGCTTTGGGAAAATCTGCTGCAAAAGACCCCTTTAAAATGTTAAAAAGCAAAGATGTCACCTTGAGGACTAAGGTGCGCTTGACCAAAGCCGTGGTGTTTTCAATCGCCTCATATGCATCTAAAAGCTGGACAATTAATAAGGAAGACTGAAGAAGAACTGATGCCTTTGAATTGTGGTGTTGGTGAAGAATATTGAATATACCATGGACTGTCTTGGAAGAAGTACCATCAGAATGCTCCTTAGCAGCAAGGATGGTGAGACTATGTCTTACATACTTTGGACGTGTTGTCAGGAGAGATCAGTCCCTGGAGGACATCATGATTGGTAAAGTAGAGGGTCAGTGAAAAAGAAGAAGACCCTCAACAAAATGGATTGACACAGTGGCTGCAACAATGGGCTCAAGCATAACAATGATTGTGAGGATGGTGCAGGACCAGGCAGTGTTTCGTTCTGTTGTTCATAGGGTCACTATGAGTTGGAACCAACTGGACGGCACCTAGCGACAACAACAACAGAAGCCACCACACTCCCTCCTCTCCCAGGGTTACTGTAAAATCAAATGAATAGATGGGGATGCTCTCCACCAACTTAGAAGCGAAGTCAACCTGCTTAGAGTTCTCACCAAGGTAGAGCAGCCATTTATAGGACACCTACACATGGGGTCACCAGGAGTCAGATCGACTTAAAGGCAACCGGTATGGTGTTTTGGTTTACTGTGTGCCAGGTGCTACGCCAGGCACTTTATCTCTTACTAGTCAGCCCCTGGAAGACTGGTCCACTTAGAGCTGGCACCCAATAAATACCTGTGCACAGGGAATGGGTGATCTCATTGACTGTTGGGTATCATTATCAGGAAGGTGTTGTTGGGGGTCAGGCAGATGAAGGTCTAGAAAAGAGAAGGGGAGAGGCTCACTCCCCAGTGTAAGTTGTGGACATACTTGTCCATGTGGTTGAAGCAGGAGATGCAGCTATACCCATCAGTGGCCTCCCCCAATCCCTCTCCAACTTGCCCGGCTTGGGTACCTGTAAATCGATCTGCCATCGCTGGGCATCCATGCTGGTCTGGTTGGTGAGGTCTTGCAGCTTGGCCTTCCGTAGTGGGTATCTCCTGGCAGCCACCATGGGGTCACTGGCCGTGGCGGCCCTCGGGGAGGGCTTGGAGTGGGAGATCTGGTTGGTGCTGTATGCCCTCCGTCGCTGGGAGAGGATCAAATCTGGGGTGGTGACAGGGAAGCCACCAGGGTGGAGGACAGTAGGAAAAAGAGAGAGGGACTTGCAGGCCCCTTTCCTGCTTGTAAACTTCTGGAATTTTCCACTGCTTGCCGACTGAAATACGTGCAGTGCCTCACCTGGCATTCAAAGCCTTACCCTATCTAGCCTTAATCTATCTTTCCAGCTACTTCCCCTTTGCTTCTTTTTTTTAGGTACCACATGCTTTGGACAAACTAGATGAGCAGCCATTTGTGTATGTGTCTTCTAGGCGTCACACCTTCACACCTTTGCTTAGGCAGTGTCTGCTGCCTGGGATCTCCTCTCCCTTCCCTCCTCCAAACATCAGTCCCCTCATCAAGCCTTTGTTGATTTCCTCCACCAGATGTGCCTTCCTCTCCCTGGGATCACTCTGCTTTCTATTAGAGTCAAGGCCAATCATATCTCTGTCACTAGACGGAGAACCCGTAAAGGGCAGGGGCCGTATTTGAGTCACCTTTGCTTCCCACGCTGTGCTGAGTACCTAGCCTTAGTAAGTGATTGGTCCCTACCTTCAAATGGAAAGTAACACCATAAAGAGAATCTGGAGTCAGACAGCCTAGACTCCATCTGGGCCAGAATGCTCCTTAGAAGCGAGGATGGTGAGACTTCTGCTCACTTATTTGGACACATCATCAGGAAAGACAAATTGCTAGAGAAGGACATCATATTTGGTAAAGTAGCAAAATGAGAGAAACCCTTAGTGAGATGGACTGACACAATAACCCCAACAATGGACTCAAATATACCAACAATCATGAGGATGGCACAGGACTGGGCAACGTTTTGTTCTTTTATACATAAGGTTACTATGAGTCGGAGCCAACTCAACAGCAATTAACAACAACCGCTTTCAGGCTCCATGAGCTTGGCCAAGTTGCTTAAAATTCTTCAAGTCTCGGTTTCATCATCTGCAAAATGGGTATAAGAGTACCCATCTCTGTAGCTGTTAATTATTCAGTGAAATTTTTTATAAAGTGCTTCACACATAGTAAGTGCTCAATAAAAGGTAGCAACCAGCGTGGCCTCCTTGCAGAGGGAAGCGGGCACAGAGAGCAGCAGACTCACTGGAGTTAATGGTGGAGTCTCCACTGGACTGCCGGGCATCATTGGTCTGCTCCAGGCTGAAGGGTGCCCCTGAGCTCTTGGTACCGTCTCCGCTGTCTGGGCCAGAACCCTCATCTTGTGAGTGGTAGAAGATGGAGCTGCTGGACTCCTGAGAGTGCAGCATCCTATACCGTCGCCTCTTGTCCTGGATGGAGGGAGAGAAAACGGGGCTGGGGATGAGGCTAGATGTCAGGAAGGACTTCCAGGGGACAGCAAAGGCTATGAGAAGAGGGAGTGATGGTTCCATCGCTGAAGAACTGGCATAATAGGCAAATTTTTTGCTTGCTTGGAGAATTTAGGCAGACTTCCGTTCAAGAGATGACGAATGGAATTGTCTTTTCCTATCACCTTTTTTTTTCTTTTTTCATAAAGGCTAAATAATTATTTAGAGATTAATTAATTAATCCATGTTTTGATGAATTACTTTGTAATACACAGTATTCTATGTGTGATTTAGCTTTTCCTCCCAACTCCCTATTCCTCCCTCCCCACATCCCCTGTTGTTGTTGGGTGCCCTCAAGTCAATTGCGACTCCTAGTGACCCTATGTGACAGTGTAGAAATGCCCTAAAGGGTTTCCCAGGCTGTAATCTTTAAGGGAACAGATCGCCAGGCCTTTTCTCCCGTGGAGTGAGAGGAACTACTGACCTTTCAGTTAGCAGCCGAGCGCTTTAACCGCCTCCAGGCTCTGGTCACCACTATCTTCTTTTATCTCAATAGATTTGGCTATTCTAGATATTCCATATAAGTGGTATAATACAATATTTGTTCCTTTGTGTCTGACTTATTTCACTCAGTATAATGTTTTCCAGGTTCATCCATGTGGTTCGTCCATCTTTATGGCTGCATAATACTCCATTGTATGTATATACCACATTTTGTTTCTCCATTCATCTGTTGATGAGCACTTGGTTTGTTTCCACCTTTTGGCTATTGTGAATAATGCTGCAATGAATATTGGTGTACATGGGTCTGTTTGAGTCACTGCTTTCAATTCTTTTGGGTATATACCTAGGAGTGGAATTGCTGGGTCATATGGTAATTCTATGTTGTTGTTTTTATTTTTAATTATTGACTTCTTTACAGTTTTTAAAATGTAATTTTAAACCCCACTCCTGTCCCAAAATAGGTAACAAAAATTAACAAAATTAACCATTTGCTCCCTCCATCCCCTTCTCCATGATATAAAAATATATGTGTATGCGTACATTTCTCTCTCTCTCTGTCTATATATAAAACATATGGGCTTTTGCGGGTCATTTTTTTTTTATTGTACTTTAGATGAAGGCTTACAGAACAAATAGTTTCTCATTAAACAGTACACATATTGTTTTATGACAATGGTTAACAACCCTATGACATGTCAACACTGTCCCGTCTCAACCACGGGTTTCCTATTACCAGCTTTCCTGTCCCCTACTGCCTTCTAGTCCTTGTCTCTGGGCTGTTGTGTCCCATTAGTCTCGTTCTGTTTTATGGGCTTGTCTAATCTTTGGCTGAAGAGTGAACCTCTGGAGTGACTTCATTACAGAGCTAAAAGGGTGTCCGGGGGCCATACTCTTGGGGTTTCTCCAGTCTCTGTGAGGCCAGTAAGTCTGGTCTGTTTTTTTGAGTTAGAATTTTGTTCTACATTTTTCTCCAGCTCTGTCCAGGACTCTCTGTTGTGATCCCGGTCAGAGCAGTCAGTGGTGGTAGCCGGGCACCATCTAGTTGTGCTGGACTCAGTCTGGTGGAGGCTGTGGTAGTTGTGGTGCATTAGTCCTTTGGACTAATCTTTTCCTTATATCTTGTTTTCTTCAGTCTCCCCTGCTCCCGAAGGGGTAAGACCAGTGGAGTATCTTAGATGGCTGCTCACAAGCTTTTGAGACTGGGGGTCATTTTTGGATTTACAAAAACTGGACCATATTACTTACATTTATCAGTATCTTGAATTTTTCAAGGAGTCCTTGGCTGGTGCAAATGGTTAGTATGCTCAGCTGCTAACTGAAAGGTCGGAGATTCAAGTCCACCCAGAGGCACCTTGGAAGAAAAGCCTGGCCATCTACTTCCGAAAAACCAGCCACTGAAAACCCTGTGGAGCACAGTTCTACGCTTGACACACATGGGATTGTCATGAGTTGGAACTGACTCAGCAGCAACTGGTCTTTAATTTTGCAGTTAAAACATTCTGGAAAGCCTGCATGTCAATCATTCTTTTAAGCATTTGGCTGCACAATATTCTACTACCCCCACTGTTAAGCATTCACTTTCTGGCATTTATTTTTGCCATCATAGAAAAAAATGCTACAATAAATCCTCGGACATAAATCCATTACTTTACTTTTATTTCTATGGGTTAGATTCCTAGGAGGAGAACTTCTGAGTTGAAAGGTATATGTATTTCTATATTTATTAGATATTGATAGATTGCTTTCTAAGAGAGCTGTGGCAAGTTATGTTTACACCAACAAAGGATGAGTGTAACCTTTACCCAATATCCCTACCAGTAGCAGGACAAAACTTTGCCAGTTTCATGGGTAAGAAAAAGAGAATGTATCTGATGACTTTGTCGGGTCTTTTCTAGTGGTAGGGTATGTTGATGATCCATTGCCTCCCAGACCTCTGAGGAGGTCCTAGACTGTTGGCCAGCATTTTGTTAAGCTTTTTCTCCCTGCAGTTGGACACTCCACTCTCCATAACACATTAACAATTACCTTGAACAAGGTTCTTAATATTAAAAAATCTGGAAATTTCACATAAAATTCCAACTTCTCTTGAAAAATTGGAAGCACATTTAACAGAGGGCTCACATTCCTGCATGACAACAGTTTTCTGGAGCCAAGTAGAGACTTTCCCAATTTAGACAAATCATGCATATCTTATCCAATTTGCCATATTCCCCATCACTCCTTATTGTCTCTTCAATTATGAGCTCAGTGACAATGGCTATTTATCATGGCATTTGCACCTTTTATTTTTATACTGATTTCGTTCATTTCATACCTGCCTGATCTCTCTAGGCATTTGAATCTGTGGCTCCTGCTTAAAAACAAAACAAGTTGGGAAATCTTTCGAGGGGAGAGCGGAAAGATTCACTAAAGATGAAAGATGGGTGAGGAAACAGTTTCCCAGGTAGTTTCCCATATTTCAGCATGAATTCCCCCTCCCTTTGAGAAGTTTCTTACTTCTATCCCACTTCTGCCACCACATAAAAGGGAATTATTTACATAAATAAATACAGCACAAACTCATCTAAGAAGATAAGAGCATCTAAGGAGATGTGAAGTGTGCATCAGAATTACTTAGAGGAAATTATGTAAAATGCAGATTCCTGGACCTTTAACCTTAGGGATTCTTATTCAGTAAGCCTTAGAGCTAGGGCTCTGTTTTTTAAATAAGTTGTTCAAGTTTTTCTGCTGCAGAGATTCTGAGAAGCACACTTTGAGATAGCGGCATCTACCCAAGAGGTATCACAATGATCGAATGTCCATGGCCTGGAAACTATACCCCACGACTGTAAACCTAGTTCCAACTCATTCCTAGCTGCCATAGGTGGAGTCTTTCCAGCTAAGGATGGATTTATGGGCATGGATTCTGGGCCCCCATTACCCCCTGGGATTACTTACAGATCTGGGATTGGAGATGTACAAGGAAGCATCACATACAATGCCATACACCACCAGCCTTTCTCCGGGGAAGAGGGAGCTGGCACTGACAGGTGAGATCAGGACTTCGGTGGTTTCAGGGAAGACCCACTCCACAGTCACATCACTTAGGACTGGGGCCATGGCCTTCTTCAGGGATTTTACCATCTGTTGGCAGGGTTAGAACACAGGTTGGAAGTATGTGTGAGCAGGGGTGTTTACAGATGAGTAGCATGAAGATCCTGTGGACATGACCATGAGGGAGAGTGAGCAGAGAAGAAAGGACAAATCCTGGGGTGGCTTGCCCAGCAGTGAACATGCCTCTGAGCTTTAGGCTCCTAGAAAGTCAGAGTTGGAATAGATCTTTGCTATCATCTTCTCTAAGCTCAGCATCTTATAAATGAGAAAACTGAGGCTCAAAGTAGGGCTGTCACTTGCCCAAGGCCACACAAAAAGTTTATGTCAAAGCATAGACCAGCTAGTGATCTTGAGCAAGTTAATTTGCCTCTCTAGGCCTCAGTTTCCCCTGCTGTTAAAGTGGGTTAGTAATCCTCAGCTCTCAATGTGGTTGGGAAGATTATCTGAGATACTGGATATGAAGTTATCTGCCACATGATAAGTGTTCAATAAATGATGTTGTGGTTTAGCATCTCCTAGGATGATTTTTCCTGATGTACTGCAAAGCTGGAGGAAAATGATTTGGGGGATGTGGCAGCCATGGAGGTATGCTGCTCAAATCTCCCTTCAAGAAAGGACATGCCTCTTTGTTGCAAGGAATGCAGTTAAGTGAAGCCTCCAGGTGCCCCAGCTTTGAGCCAAGACCACATTTCTTCCTGGAAGCTCCCAACCAATGACTGAGCACAGCAGGGATACTAGTGCCAGATCATTTCAGCCCACTGCAGACTCCTCTAATGGGCAATCTGATCCAGAGCTCCCTGTCAGGTTGGCTGAGATTTTGTCAGATCTGCATCATAGCCTGAGGCTCTCCTTACCTAATTCTGCTTCTCTCCTTTTCTTTTAACAGGTGTTGGATCTGCATCATAGGTTGAAGACTTTTCCTTTCTGTTTTCTCATCTTCTATTGTTCATAGACATATCCCCCAATAAACCTCTTGTACTCTTAACTCTAGCTCAGTCTCTTTTTCCCAGGGAACCTGGAGGATTTTCTAAAGGTCGGATAATTTGTGCCAGTTGCACAGGTAATGGAAAGAAGACTATAGGCCATTTCATCTCTAGGCCCGTTAGAGTCTTCTGGGCCATGATTTGTCATCATCAAGAACTTGGCTAGAAATGACCCCAAACACAGCTCCCCATCCATAAAGGTAGTGACTCCTTCAGGGACTCCAATCTTGCCCAGCCAGTGGATGGAGCCTGTGACCCAGTGGCTGGAGACAGGGGATCTGGTGTCCTGTACTAGCTCCTGGGGTCACCTGCTCTGTGACCTGCATCTCTCTGGTTCTTACCAGGGTGTAACGTTGCCTAGTGGAGAGCTCAGCTTCAGGGTGAAATCCCAGCTCCACCACTGACTTGCCATATGACCAGTCTGAGCCCCTGAGGCTCTAGCACCAGAAGGGACTGGGGCCCTTCCACCTACCTTGGGCTGCAGTCGCTCTCCCTCCACCAAGAACTCAGCACTCCCCTTGGACACAGATGCCAGCCTTTGCACCAGTCTGTGGCAGACGTTGGGTCCAATTCCAAAGCTATAGCACCTGGGGGAAGGGGAGGAGAGAGGCTAGTACTTCCCATCCTCTGCTGTCTTTGGCCCCTGATGGGGAAAGGGATAGAGCATGATCTATCAGAGTTATCTCAGAGCTGGCCGTATCTTCAGGCAGAGAGTGAGGGAGAAGGAAGAAGAGCCATAGTGAGCACTTACATACACACATACACAGCCCGTAGGTTTCCCATCCCAGTCAGAGTCAAAGCACCACAAAGGACTTCCTCTTCCCAGGCCAATAGGTTGCTCTTTGAGGGATGTATGCAGAGGCGTGGCAACTCATGCCTCCTGAACTTTTGATGGGAAAAGACAAACTTTGAGGTCAACCACACCATCCTGAAAGCAAAACACTCTAGGAATTGTGGGGCTTCTCTCTCTCTGGGATTTTCCACATTTTGCTCTGGTTCTGGTACCCCCAGCCCAGGGCAGCCCAGGATGACTGAGCCCTGGGCCTTTAGCCCAGGCTAACCTGGTGGAGAAGGCATGGTTGCGCACCAGCTCCAGCACCTTCCCAGTGTTGCTGACAGCACCATCCGTGATCAGGAAGAGGAGCCGTGGGTGGCCTTTGTGCACTGGCTGCCGGGTGATCCACTTGAGAGGGGAGAGGATGTTGGTGCCACCCATGTCAGCTCGCATTCTCTGGATGTTATCACAGGCCATGGCCAAGCTCTCCTGCAGGAAAAGGGCCACAGGAAGGGCAGAGTCCACAGGGTCACCATAAGGGGAGGAGACTCTAAGCCCCCTGTAGGACAAATTCTTTGTTTCCCAGCTCCTAGTTCAGCCTCACACAGTGACTGCAACAATAGGCTCAAGCATAATAACCATCGTGAGGATGGTGCAGGACTGGGAAATGTTTTGTTCTGTAATACCTAGGGTCGCTATGAGTCAGAACCTACTCAACCGCACCTAACAATAGTTCAGCCTCAGTGGTGTTGACTTACGTTTCCAACTTCATCTCTGCCCCATCCCCTGAAAGAGGAAGTACCCACTTATTTGGTGTGATCCTACCCAATAACATCCTCCCTCTATCAATGCCTGAAATTCCACCATTAGTGGTATATAAATTTACCATTGTCCTTTCTGGGTTCCTCTTTAAAAAATAACATCTCTGGAAAAGTTTTCACATTAAGCCCCTAATTCCTCAGCACCAATGCTGAGGATGTTTCCTTTTCTGATGAGGGAGGCAGGTGGATAGTGGAAAGAATACTAGACTAGGAATCTTAAGATTTGAGTCTTAGTCCTGAATCCAGCACTAACTCCCTATGATACTTTGAGGAAATCACTCCCCTAATCTGGGCTTCAGATTTCCTCCTTCCTGGGCCAATCCTGTGAGACCCAACTGGCCGAGGATTACTGGCACAGGATGAACATTGTTGCAGCAAGGACAGGTTCTTACTGGACATTAGATGTCCTCCCTCTCTTGATTCCAACATCCACGATTAGAGAGGACTTATAAGCAATAGCATATAACAAAAGTCTTAAAATGTGCTTGTACCTTTTGTACCAGCAAGTCTAGGAATTTATCCCAAAGGAATACTCAAGAATGTATGCAAAAATTTTGCTACAAAGATAACTTAATAGAAAAAATTGGAAACAACCTAAATGCCCAACAGTAGGGGATTAAATAAACAACGATCTATTACACAACAAAAAACTAGTCAGCCATTACAATTATGTTGCAGGTGAATACTTACTAGTGTGGAGATATGTTCATGATGGACTATTGCGTTAGAAAAGTAGGGTACAGAACAGTAGCCTAATCCCACCTTTACTGAAAATGTGGGTAGCTATGTAGAAAAAGCTCCGGAGGGATTTTTCCCAAGTTATTGACAGTTTTTTTTTTTTTTTTAATTTCCTTGGCTGATGTATTCATGAGAGGTTTTTATTCTTTTTGATTCTCTGGATTTAAAAATTTGGGGACAATCAATATATAATATTTTTATATTTTAAAAACCCATAGTTATTTTTAACAGAAAATCTGTTCGTTTTTTCCTCCCTCCCTCGCTCCCTCCCTCCCTCCCTCCTTTCCTTCTGCTCCTAGGCCTGGGTAGGATGCTCCAGTTTTGAACATGCTCCTGGGGCGACAGCCTTTTTGTTCCAAATTGTAGTTTGAGCTCGTGGGTTGAATTCTTTGTCCACTTCCACCCATTCCCTTCCCACCCCTTCCCATTCACCCCCTTAGCTCAACTTTGCATGAGTCTATTGTTCTCATGAGGCAGAAGCTTCTGTGAGAGGGAAGTCTGGACTATGTCCTCTCCTTCCCCCTCCCGGTACCCCTCTCTGTGCACTCACGAACTTTGCCCAACATATTCTTTTATTTTAAAAAGTGTGAGTGGGGGTGGGGTGGGGTGAGTGGGTATCAGAAGGCTGACATGTCAGAAAACTGTGTAAACAGACAGAGCATCTCTTCACTTCTCTGCCTTTGCACATGATCTAGGTTCGATTCGGGTGAATAGCTTCTGAGGCAGTCCTCAGGGTGACCTCCTCTTCCCCTTCCCTTCTTTCTTTCAATCCCCACCACTCACCCGCTTCTATTCTCAGTCTTCCTTACCTCCTTACCCCTCCTTACCTCATTGTATGTCTGACTGGAAGGGAAGAGAGCCTTAAACGTGGATCCAAACCCAATGACATTGAAGAGGCAGGCTGGCAAGAGGCTTTTGAGAGCCACCAGCATGGCATCCTGGCAGGTAAGAAAGGGATTTTTGAGATTCAGGCATGAGTGGGAAGGGATTACCACCCTGCCACTACATACCAGCATTCTCATCCCAGAACAGAAGCTGCCTCTAAACGGGCCTTTGTCCCTCTATCTGTATCCAGCATCTCCTTCTCCCACAAATCAAGAAATTTGCTGATGCTGACCAAAGGCTGGACCAAAGCCATCATCATAAAACTTGTCATCTGTGTAGCAGGTCTGACTTCTCAAAGCCATGCTATTATGGCTTTCCAGTTCCATCTCACCTCTTGCTGACCCTGAGGGGTAGGCAGAGCAAGGAGCTCTCTTTTGCCAAAGCAAAATTGATATCTAAGGGAGGAACATTTTCTGGCTCAGGACACGGAGTTGTTGGAACAGGCTCTGGCTCTCATCCAAGGCCTTTAGCATCAGACTCAACCTATCATTATCTAGGCACAAATCCCTTAGGGACAGTCTCTTTAGCTCATATTTGTTGAGTGCATAGGATGTACTTTACATGCATTACCTCATATAATCTTCACAAAAACCTTTCGAGGCAGGTGCGATGTTATCCCCATTCTACAGAAGAGAAAACTGAGGCACAGAGAGGTGGAATGATTTGTCGCTGAGCATACAGATTGTAAATGGTGGCGCTAAGACTCAAAGATATGTCACTTTGTCTCCAAAGCCTGTGAATATTAAAGAGTCTTCATCTACTTAACTATGTACTCCCAGGAGACCTTGACAAATTGGGGGGAAAAGAAAGAATGATAGAGGGGGAAGGTGGAGATGGTGGCAGAAGCAAAAACGATAATGATGTTGATGATGTTGACATAATGCAACTATAAACAGTAAGTAATTACTGTGTTCCAGATACTGTGCTAAGCAATTTATACTCTTTTTTAAATCTCTGTACATGTATTATAGCATAATGGCTAAGAAAATATGCTTTGCAGTTAAACATGTCCGGGTTTAACTCTTACGTGTACCATTATTAACTTGACCTTAAGCTAGTTATGTCACCCCTCTGAGCCTCAGCCTGTCACATAGTACACATTCAACAGTTATTATTACCTACCAAATGAAGTGTATGTCAATATTATCACCCCCATTTTACAGATTAGGAAAGAGACTCAGAAGGGTTAAGGAATTGTGCTGGACCCAAAACCTAAGAATAGGACCAAGGCTTTTAAAATCTAGCTCTGAAATCTTTATGCATGTCGGCTCTGCCTTGGCACAGAATTCAGGAATGAGGGTCTCCCTTTCCCCCCAACCCCATGTAGTTTATTGATGGCATCCCAGGGGTCTCAGCATGGCTTCAGCATGGCTTCAGGGAAACAAGCTGTTATGCTCCGGAGTCCAGAAGGAAACAGCTGTAAGAGGATCCTGGCAACTCTCACATCATATGCCTTTCAGGCTCCACAGACCCGCAGCCCATCTCCCCACTCTCCACCCCCACTGTAAATATTAACCTAAGTGTTCTCTTGGTCTCTTTTGTATTACTTGTGTCAATACATTTTGTGTCTCTACAAAAATCAGTATCTGCTTATTTTGTCATTAGCCACGAATTTACATTCCTGCTAGTGGGAGACTCTGCTGATCCATACAGATTGTCTCTGTTCACACCTATTAGAAATTTTTAAACCATGTTTTTGGCAGCTGAAGAATGAGACCAGCTGCAGGAAATTAAATTGTCTGAACTTTGCCCTTCGGCACGGGCTATTTGGATTTCTATTTACTCCCACCTCGCAAAGCCCAGTTTTCCCTAAAACTTGAACCCAATGGCCCGTAATTAATGACTCAAGCAACCCCCGATGGCTTCATTGTCAATGGGGAAAGGGGTGTGCAGGCGAAAAATTTCTGTGCCTCTGTCTAAAAGGGGCATGTTCAGCAGAACGGATTGTGCCAGTGCAAAGCCGTTTGTCAAGGGGTGACCTTGAGCTCAGTGAGCTGAACTGAAAAAGAGCAAAAAAAAAAAA